AAAAAAAAAAAAAAAAAAAAAGAAGAGTTTTGGCAGTGGCTTAAAAGGGACTTTCCAGTACACATGATGAATTAGTCTCACTGGATAAAGAAAGAGGCTCAGGAGTGAGCTGACTGGGCTTGAGGGCCAAGGATATTGTGTCAGAGGGAGGAAGATGTTCCCTGGTGGGAGTAACAGCATTATATAAAATACCAAAATGAAACTGGAGAGAAATGCTGCAGAGCTTGGGAGTTACTATGGTGGATAGTTTCCCCTGGATCTTGGGGACACTGGTATGGCTGAGAAGATTCTTGAGTAGGTCTAGGTACACAAGACCAGAGTCCTAGAGGACCATCTGATAGAATTTGGTGACAGCTGAGCATGTGAGCCTGCAGGCTAGAAGGCTGTGTGCCCTTGGGGGTGTGACAGGGCCTCTAAACTTCCTGCAGTATCAGTTGGAGTATTTTATTACTCTTCTGGTCAAGGAGATCTTCAGTATGCCCACCTAGAACCTGTCCGCATGAGTGTCAACCAAAATTACCCATGCTCCATTCTCTTAAACAGTCCTGTTTCTGGTTTATTTTTACTTTTTATTTTGAGACAATTCTGACTTCACAATTTTTCTTTACTTACTTGAGAAGCTGGAGCCCTTAAGCCTAGAAGATGAGGTCACAGGGAACAGAGGCTAGATGCTACTGTCCTGGGTTGCCTTTCTAACTTGCACACTTATTACTGTCTTGGTCTCTAATTGTGCATTCTTCTTCCATCCTTGTAGTACTTTTCCATGTAGGAATCATGGAATCTTAGTAGGTAAAATAGTCTCCCATCTCACTGAACCCCTTCCCTTCCTCTTCCTGAACACTTACTTGTCACCTCCCAGGGCAGGTGATTCCAGGACTGGCCAGATTTGAATGTGAGGAAGCTCTTTTCTTAGACTAAACAGAAATCCACCACCACTTCAGTCACATTTCACTATGGACTCTTGTATTGCCCTTTGAATCAGTGCGCAGTGTGCTGACTTCCTTGCTATTATTCACAGCAACCCTGAAGGCTACAAGGCTCTTACGGTGGAAGGCACTTGAAGTAAAAATTAGGGACCAAATTCTAGTTTTGGTTGTGCTAGCTTTGTGACCAGGTCACTCACTTAAAATCTCTGGGCTTACTTTTCTCATCTATAAAATAAAAGTAGAGCTGATTTCATGTAATGTTCTTTGCAACTCTCAAATCCCATGATGTCATGATCCAGGAGTCTGCAGGTCTCTAATGCTGACCTGTGTGACACTAGAGCCCACTGGCTGAAGAACCCTTAGAACTGTGACATTTCACATTATTCTTTAGTCCTCTGTGTCTACTGATAGTGCCTTTTACCTTTTCTTATGTGTCATAGTTCCCAGACTAACTCATTCTTGTCCTCTTTCTAGGACAATTGCTAGCCTGTCATCAGTCCTCTGAAATAAGCACATGTAAAATACAATATCCTCAATGTTGTCTGAGCAGTTTAGAACATAGATTTCTATTTTCTGATATCTGTACTTAATACCTACTATTATAGCTGAAAGCTATGCTCTTAAAAGAGAATGTTTCTTTTTTCTTTTTCTTTTATTTTTCATACTTGGGATTGAAACCGGGTGCTTTACCACTGACCTTTGACATCCCCAGCCTGTTTTATTTTTACTTTTTATTTTGAGACAAGATCTCACCAAGTTGCTTAGGGCCTCACTAAGTTACGGCGGAGTCTGGTCTCAAAATTGCAATCCTTCTGCCTCAGCCTTCGAGTTGCTGGGATTACAGGCACCTGGCTCAGAATGTTCCTTTTTTTATATGTCAGCTGCATCATTACTGTACTTTTATAGGAACATGGAAACTGCAGTTAAGCCAGGACTCTGCCAGCCCAAATTCGGGCAGTTGGTCTTTGAACCTAGGGAAAGGGCTTAACATTTTTCTCTCTCTCAGCCTTGCCTCTTAATGCTTGGCTCTCTATCTTCAGTGGTCAGATGGTATCTCCCTGGGCCCACCTTTCTGCAAACCCTGACCCCTGCCCAGTCTCTGACATGGGAATGATGTCAAAAGCTCCTGTGCTCCTCTTGGATCAGGGGCAATTTCCTGTGCTTAATTTGGCAGACTCTCCTCTGGGACCAAGTCCTTTCCTCCTTCCTGCAAATCAAAGTCCCCCTGAAGCATGAAAGAACAGTGGTAGGGTAGTGGTTGTGGAGAAAGGTCGGAGAATTTCAAGGCATTTAACTATTTTTTTTGGCAGTTGAAGATGCACTAACAAGCAAAAAGAAGTAGACGGGGAAAGGTTTCAAGGGCCTAGGAGAAGGAATGAATGACAGACCCTTCCTGTCTACAGGATGTTCCATTAGTGGCCATGGTCAGCTTTGCCTGAGAGTCCAGATGTCTCCTCTTGATTGAAAGAAGAGTGTTCACTGAGATCCTTCTTCCAAATTTGTGACTACAGGCCTCTTCTCTGGTGGTTGCTGAGTCTGAAGTTAGCACTTGAACAGGTCAAATCTGAGGTTTTTCAGGGATAGTTTGACCCATTGAGTTCTTAAGTCTTCAATTCTGTGAGCATAATAATTATTTCAGAGTTACTACAAGTGGTATAATTCTTGCTCAATTTATGTGTTTATACGTGTTCCACATGTGAGACAGTGGGGTAGAATGAAGGAAACAGCAAGAATCATTTGGAGGTTTCTAGAAGATGGGAAGGGAGGGGCAGAGAAAGTGGAAGCACTCCTAGCACTTCTGTCTGCCTGGGGCTGGCCCCACTCAGGCAGGAAACCAAGATGGATTCAGCAGGAAACATCCAGTGTTTCTTGCAGCCCTCACACGTTTGTTTCTCATTCTCACATTGATTCTAAACCGGGAAAGAATTCATGTTTAGAGGTCTGAATTTTGCCTCAGCCAACAAGTGTGAGTTCTTGGGACTTGAGACTTTGCAGCAAAGGGGGCTCCACATGGGCCCCCAGAGGCCTCACACGGGCAGTTAATTCCCTCCTCTGCCCTGGATTCAGAACTGTCTGTCTTGTCTGTGCACCCTGCTCTGCCCAAGGACCTCTGTACCAAGCCACCATTAACAGATTTGAGGTTGCTCCTGATGCAGAACCCTGGGCCCCACCCTGAGATCATGGGTGCTGGTTGCTCTGTGCTGCTTCTCCCCAGTTGCCAGGAAGATTCTTCTGCCTGATGCCTGTGCAGTATATTTTTCAGAGCAGGGAAGACAAAAGCCTTTGCTTACTCCTCATTCTTGTCAAAGATTGCTAGTGCCTGGGCCTCTTGCTGCCTCTCTGGCTCCTTTCCTGGCCTCCCCTTTCTCTCCGCCATGACAG